CCCGCTGAGTTTCTCGCCGGATCTTCTCAGCGGGTCGCGATTCCGATCCGGTAGTAGATTCATTCGCGAAACAATTGCTCTTGAGTTGATAGGTCTCCTTCGGAGGCGCTCGGGCAGTTGTTAGCAAATCCCACCCCTCTTGGCTGAGCCTTTGCTCGCCCACCTGTCCTGGTGAAACTGGAAAGGCCTTCGGGCCACCAGTAAACTTTCAATCATAAAAAAAAAAAAAAAAAAAATGACAGGTATCGTAAAACAAGATAGAGAACAATGTCAAAATGGTCATCATTCTTATTAGTTTACTATTCTCATTAGATAGACAATACACATTACAATGCATCCGATCGGTACGATATTTTTCTTTTTTTTACATACCTAGTGCTAGTAATCTCAAGGGGTTATACTAGGTTCACCAAACGATTAGGCGAGCTCACAGGGCTCAACCTGAGACGTTGTTACCATCTGCCTTTATTTTTCCTACCTAAACTGATGGTCTAGAGAGACCATATCAGCATCACCGAGCTAGTAGGTGAGCTCACGGGCCTCAAACTTGATGACGTTGCTAACACGAACCCTAGCAAGAGCCGTGCTTCGCAGAATCTACCACCGGATCGGAAACGCAACCCACTAAGAAGATCCGGTGAGAAACTCAGTGGGCTGTATCTGTGAGTTAATTTACTCGCCGAGACCTTCGTCGCAAGCGACGGGTTCGACAAAAGCGATGACCGGAATCTAAGAAGAGCAGCGCTTCGCGGAATCTACCACAAATACCACGTTGAAATTGATTGAAAGATAGCTACCCTGAGGCCTCACCAGCTTAGGCGGGGGCCCAGCCAGGAGAGTAAAGACATAAAGACTACCGTGTATTTTAAGCACGTGCGTGATTATTTCGCACACGTCTAAGCTATATAGGTTAATGCTCTCAAACAAGAGAACCGTGAATACTAAGTTGTTTAATATTTTTGTTGTTGTACTATGCTATACTAGTGCGAAAGCAGAAATCTTTTGATGAAAATGTATAGAATCGAAATTGCATATTCTGTTCATTATCTTTTGCTCGCCTAAACTGAAAGGACATGATCGTCACCCAAAGATGACCACTGAATAAGATATTCAGTTTTACTTGTTACCCTGCTTCTTCCATCAATCAAGAATAATAAAAACTCTTTCATCGTGAAGGCGAAACACGTGAAAGAAACTTCTATAAAGAACAAAAAAATGCCAATAATTAACTTGTAAAATAGCGTTAAGTTGGAATAATATTCAAATTTTAACGACTCAGTCGTTGGTGACCACGAAAACAGTAAAGTAATTAATGTATTTGAAGCAAAGCTCTTTAAATATGCTTTGAAGAGTGAGACTTTTGAAGTCGTCGTGGCCTAAAGGATAAGACGTCCGGTGCATTCGTGTTGAGCAATGCACCGGTGTCCGAATCCCAGGTGATTACCAATTTTTGTGATGAAATACGTACTCAACAGATGTTCACGATTGACTTCCACGGTGAAGGAATAACATCGTGTAATAAAAATCAAACCCGCAAAATTATAATTTGCATAATTACTGGTCGTAGGACCTCTTATGGATCCGTACGGGTAGGTACCCTGCCTAGTTATGCCGTGAAGCAGTAATGCGTTTCGGTTTGAAGGGTGGGGCAGCCGTTGTAACTATACTTGAAACCTTAGAACTCATATCTCAAGGTGGGTGGCGGCATTTACGTCGTAGATGTCTATGGGCTCCAGTAACCACTTAACACCAGGTGGGCTGTGAGCTCGTCCAACCATCTAAGAAAAAGAAAAAAAAGACAGCCGTTTTACAATATACTTGAGAATTCAACCACTTATTTTTATGTGAGTTAGCGTGCTTCACTAACTTTTTTACATGAGGTGGGTAGTGGGAAATCGTATTCAAACACTTTTTGAGATCCGAGCTTAATGTATTTAGTACTCACCCCTGGCAGTGTCCGTTTCTCGTGAAGCGCCGATTGCGCATTTGAAGCACTTTCTGGATTGAAATACGTCAAAAACGCACATCCTGTAACAATAAGAAAACAAATATTAACTTTCTGATCACTTTTTAAGAACAGGTGGTAAGGACCTCTTGTGAGTCCGTACGGGTAGGTACCACCACCCTGCCTATTTCAGCCGTGAAGCAGTAATGTGTTTCGGTCTGAAGGGTGAGGGCAGCCGTTGTAACTATACTTGAGACCTTAGAACTTATATCTCGAGATGGGTGGTGCATTTACTTTGTAGATGTCTATGGGCTTCAGTAACCACTTAACACAAGGTGGGCTGTGAGCTCGTACCCCATTTAGGCGATAAAAAAAGGCAGTTTCAGATTAAATAATCTCAGTTTATTAAGACGCCGGTACTCAACCGTACGGGTTAATAATACGGCCTAGTGCCAGTGAAATAATTTGAAATAAGGGGCGAGGATAAATTTGGGAAGGTAATTGTGGAGTAAAGTGAATATAGTAACTAGCTGGTTGCTGGTTGTACTAGCCACTTGCAATTTAAACGGAATATGAACAATAGCGAGAAATTCTATTTCTTGTATTTGTCCGGTAAAATTCCCGAAGCACAATGAAGGAATATAAACACAATACGCACTTATATACAAAGCAAATTGACAATAATATTGGCTGTTAAGAAAACTTCAGGTGAAATGACGTAGGCTTCATACGATGTGGAGCTGTGTTTAGTGGAGTGCAAGTTTTTTTTATTTTTTTTTATTGCCTCTGTAGGCAGACGAGCATACGGCCCACCTGATGGTAAGTGGTCACCGTCGCTCATGGACGTCAGCAATGCCAGGGGCAGAGCCAAGCCGCTGCCTACCATAAAGAACTCTCCGCAAGCCTCGTTTGAAGAAGGACATGTCATAGCGCTCGGAAAACACCGTGGAGGGGAGTTCATTCCAAAGTTCATTTTTTTTTTCATTCATTCATTCATTTCATTTCAAGTTCATTCAAAAAAGTTCATTCATTCATTCATACTTGAATACTTATACAAGTAAAAGTACTGTTACGCGCTGGAGTTCGGGATAAATAAAAATTCTACCGAAGATCAAATTAAAATTGTATTAAATACTTAGAAAACTTAACGAACGCTTTAAAATTCTCAATTCATTTCTTCCGTTTCGCTTCAGATGATCCGTTCGCTGTTTCGCTTCGAGTAGTTCCGATGACTAACTGACTTCGTATCATCTCGCAACGCTTTTACAGTCGATACGACATCCCTAGATTTATCGAGAGCATTCTGGGCAAGTCGAGTAGCTTCGATGTGTGTTTCCGCTATCTGATAACAGATGGTGTTGTACTTCTCAAGCACTTTCGATGTTACTTTACATTAGATTTAAATAGTTTCATTGATGTTAGTTTCTACTATTCGACTATAGATGGCGTTACTCTAATCGACGTAGCAGTACGCTACAGTTGTGTTTCCGAACGCCTAGAAATATTTAAAACAAAAAATGATGGTTCTCGTAGCACGGAAAAACATCATTTTCGTAAAGAAAATTTAAAAATATGCCACACGGCAATTAAAAGTTGACAATTCAAATACAGGTACCGTTTCCTTTCTAACATCAACAGTGAAAAGTCAAAAAGTTCAAAGCTCCCCTTTTAACGCGGAACTTACGAAAAGTCACATTAAGGGTTTAGCATGAGTTTGGTTCTGCGGTTTGACTTAAGACGGCTTAAAGCACAAGGTGCTAACAAATTTAAGTTTTGTTCACTTTAATTTGATTACTTTGGCTTACCAGATATACCAGAGAACTTTTAATTATAAACTTAATATATATAAGCTTTTTTCACATGCAAATAGAATCACTTACGTACAAGATGTTATAGATATTTAATTGCCTTCATTGACCCATTGACGAAGACTTTTTTTTTTCCTACCTATGCTGATAGCCTTGAGAGGCTATTTCAGCTTCACCCTAACGTGTGTAGGTGAGCTCACGGGGCTCAAACCAGAGAGTTGCTAACACTGACCCTAGCAAGAGCAGTGCTTCGCAGAATCTACCGCCGGATCGGAAACGCGACCCACTGAGAAGATCCGGCGAGAAACTCAGTGGGCTTTGACGAAGAGTACTCGCTTGCACTGGATATCAACAATAAAACTGTCTAAACAAGCCGCTGTTTAACTAAAAATACTTTTCAAACAGTTGAAGAGGGATACGTGCCATTGTGTGGGCAACCATTTGGGTTGGGGAATATAAGGTAAGGTTGGTTAAGTATGGTACATGGTTTAGGTATAAGGTAAGGTTGGTTAAGTATGGTACATGGTTTCTTCTATTGAATATTTCTTTAAATGCTTCTAGGATTACGTGAACTAAAATTCAGTTATTTACCAAACTGCTTGTTTAGGCAGTGTGTTTAGTATCGTCGTTTGAATCACAATTAACTTCCTACGTGCTTTGAATCCGTTGTACAATATTATAACCGTACTCAAGTCCTTTCTAGCTATAATACTATGTTTAGAAATGTTGTTTTTAATAGTATAAACCTAATTATTAACTCCCGTTAATACTTCCAGTGATTGGTAAATTAAAATAATTATTAATATCAGGAGTAGAGATTAAAAAAAACGTGTTGCACTTGGGGACTGCCGCGGTAAAGCTATTGCATAGCATTTTTTTATGAACTTATGCAATTATAATTAGACAATAATAATTTAACATTAAAACAATAATAAAATAAGACCACGCTATATTTATAAACATTAAAAAAAGCAAAACATTAACTTTCCCCTTCACACTCGTAAGCTAGACCGCGCGAGAGAGAGATGGGCAGACTTTTCATGATGCGCATGCAGTGCGACGTCACACCACGCGCTTATTCACAAACACTACACAAGCGCAACGTGTGAATGTGTTGAACGCGAGCTACATGGTAGGCGGAGCGGGGGGTGTTAGGTTTTAGGTTCGTTACGGAATTACTTGATTCGGTCGCCACGCTCAAAGCCCGCGATAAAAGCTATGTAATAGCTTAAAAATTGTACTAGTTGTAAGGACCAATTCGTGCTTCATACTCACATTACAACGTAATGACGCTACCTACCACAAAGGAGATGTTAGCAAATGCTAATATTTAGAACTATACTATAGTATGCTGCACCCATACCAATAAATATATTAAATCGCTAACCCAACAAAGCAAACGTCCAAAATATAATTTTTATAATTTTTTTTTGTGTAAATTGAATTTGTCTTTATACCTTAAAATTTTGTAAGCCTAAAACAACAGCCCATTTCACCGGATTGGTTAATAGCATCAGGAATAAACAAAGGCTTTGTTGGTCAAATGTACGTTTTTGAGTTTATTTCTACTGTTGGTAATCAGTAGGTAATACAATGCTGGTGGTTAGCTGAAATTCAGGTATATTAAAACCAGAATTGTAAGGTCGCATCTAGTTTTTCACTGATTAAAATCGTCCTTATTCCATCCAGCATAAAGTCGGAATTCCGAATTTATATTACGTACGTGTGCCGTTGTTATTTTAACAAGTAAAGTAGAGGATTCGTGTTTTAGATAGGTCGTTCAATTTGAAGTTGTTTTGTTTTTGTTATAAAGGGTCTAACTGGATTAGGTTAGCCTTTATTTTATTACCAAGGATAATACATACTCCTTTAATCATGTCATTGGGTAGACAGTAACGTAGCGAAGTGTACCATAAGATGTACTTTGCAAAGGGTATCTTCCCGAGTTTCTTCCAAAATTTTGTGAACCAGCAATGTAATTCGAATGTTCGAGACCATTGCGCGTGCTATGCAAAAAAGGTTTGTAAAATAATTTTACATGAACTTGTTTAAATAGTTTTATCTGGCGTTGTACTGTTAAAACTGAAACCTTACAACTCATGTCTCGAGGTGGGTGGCGGCATTTACGTTGTAGATGTTTAAGGGCTCCAGTTACCACTTAACACTAGATGGGCCGTGAGCTTGTCCAATCACCTAAGCTATAAAAAAACCCGGACTCGCGTTTGTTTTATGGAAGGTTTTCACTACATTTTTTTTCTTCAAAAACATAGTGGCCAAGCTATCTGATGTGAAGTATTCCCGACAGATTTTAATAATTCAAAACGATGACATGGTTTTCAGAATCTCATGCAATCGCTGATCTTTTTTGTTCTGTAGAGCGCGCGGAGGAGCTTAGAGTTCTTTGGACATATCGCCAGAAAGAGGGGTGACAATCTGGAAAAGCTGGTGGTAACAGGCAAGGTATGCGGAAGAAAGCTCAGAGGCAGAAGTCCAATGCGCTTGTCGGACTAGATACGCTCCACTCTCAACACTTCAGTTCACGTTGCTATCCACACAGCCGAGGATAGGCAGGAATGGCGCAGGATAACACAGGAGAAAGTTGCTAGAGGAGGCCACGACCCTCAGCACTGAGGATTACTGACGCAAGGAGGAGGAGAGCGTCACGCAGCATGTATTGTTTCTCGAAGAAAAAAAAAGTTTGTTGTATCAAACTATAAAACGAATTTATTTTATATACGTCAACGACTAATATAAATAGAACTTCGTTCGCGTGAATTCTTGGGAACGATTTAATAAGCAACTAATTAAAGAAATATTATTTATTTTAAAGTTTTTATTGATATAGATGTCTAGACGAGATAAGAATCCATCTCGTGATTATTGAGGCTCATGAACTACAAAGCATATATGAGTATGAAGCATGATGACGTACTTTTAGGCATGGAGTCCAGGTCTCCATTGTATAGCGGTGGTGATACCAACAATCACAGACTTGTCACTTACATTACCAAAAAATAATAATTTTGTCATTTATAATGAAATTGAAAACAAAACTAGTAAAGAAAAACATAGCTCAGTAACTAATATCATGTTTACACGAAACAAGAAAACCGGAAAAACTATTTGCTGTGATGTAAACAAAAAAGAATGAAAAAATGAAATAGCAACATCGTGTGGACCGGAAATGTATAGGCGCCGGAAATGAACCCGTTAACGCGATCCAAAATGGCGGAGTACAGGGTGATTTATTCTCAAAACAAGATCAACATTTATAT